CTATTCAGTGTTGTGAGAAACAGGTGGAGACGCGAGGAATATTGAAAAGGGTGAAAGAGAGGGAAGTGGCAGGGTAGGATTCTCTGCCGCCGTTGACAGAGGCCAGTGGATACGTGTGGATACGTGTGGATGAGTGTGGATTTGTGTGGATGAGTGTGGATTTGTGTGGATGAGTGTGGATTTGTGTGGATACGTGTGGATGAGTGTGGATGAGTGTGGATTTTTTGTGGATGCGAAGGCCATGGGAGAACAGATCTGCTGCCAACTCTGAGTGCCGAGTGGATGGAGATGGATGGGTTTATTATGTACCGAAGAAATAACGAATGAGGTTTAACAAGTTGGGGGTAAAATTGGCCTAAGAATGCGATTTCATTCACTCTCTTGTTTCTTCTCTCATTTTCTCTCACTATTATTTTTTTTTCTTTTCTTTTCTTTTCTTTTTCTTTTTGATTTTTCTTTTTATTCTTTATATTCTTTTTATTTTTATATTTTCTTTTCTTTTTCTTTTTGATTTTCCTTTTTATTCTTTATATTCTTTTTATTTTTATATCTTCTTTTCTTTTTTCTTTTTGATTTTTCTTTTCTTTTTCTTTTTGATTTTTCTTTTTCATTCTTTATATTCTTTTTATTTTTCAATTTTGTTTATTTTCTAATCCTATTTTTACTTTTTGAATTTCTTTTTATTTTTATTTTCTGTTATCATTTAAACGCGAGGAAATTATGAATTATTCTTAGTGAAAGTGGATTCCTTAAGATTTAACGAGAAATGTGAATGACCTGTTGACGTGATAATTACACGATAAGAAAAAAAAAAATCTTATATAATTATAAAATTACAGATTTCTCAGACCCGATGGACTGATAGAAAATGTGTAATTTAGAATATATATATAAAAAAATATCAATATATTAAGATTTTTTTTTAAAGAAAATTGTTATCGCTAAGCAGAGAGAAAGGGTTTATTTCTTTTTCTTCTTTTATTTATATATATAATCTTTTTGAGGGGGTGGGGGTGAATTTAAAAAGGCTGCGTGAATAGAATGTGTTAAATAACATAATCAAATATACATTTAATATTTGGGTATTGTTGGATGAAAAAAATGAAATAAAACGAAAATAGAAGTGTGATGTTAGTTTCTCATGATGTTTTTTTTTTCTACTTAAATCAGGAAAAATTGTCCTGAGTAAAATACGAGCTTCACGAATTAACAGACAAACAGGTAAACAAAAGCAAACAAGAATATACACAGTTTAGTACATAAAATACCCATATCCAAACATACCCACACACATACCCATTTCCTTTCTTTATTTCACCCTATACCCATGGCCACATACCACTTCCTACACACACACACACACACACACACACACACACACACACACACACACACACACACACACACACACACACACACACACACACACACACACATATCTTTCTCCACACAAACCACACGCCCCATAACACCCCCACCCCCATCCCCATCCCCACTCACAAATTGCACGAACCTCCCCCCCCCCCACCCTTTATAACCCCCTCCCCCCACATAACCTCCCACCAGTGCCCCCCCCCCACACACAACCTCAACCGACTCCTCACAACCCAAAGCTTCCTTCCAACAACCTTTTCACAACCTCCCACAACCAACTACTACTAGTACTACAATGCTACTACAACCTACTACTACTACTAGACTACTACAACACTACTACAACCTACTACTACTACTAGACTACTACAACACTACTACAACCTACTACTACTACTAGACTACTACAACACTACTACAACACTACTACTACTACTACTACTACTACAACACTACTACAACCTACTACTACTACTAGACTACTACAACACTACTACAACCTACTACTACTACTAGACTACTACAACACTACTACAACACTACTACAACACTACTACTACTACTACTACTACTACTACAACACTACTACAACCTACTACTACTACTAGACTACTACAACACTACTACAACCTACTACTACTACTAGACTACTATACTACTACTACTACTACTACACACAACCCCTGCACCAACCTATATAAAGAAAGATTTTAAAAATTATTATTATAACTAATTCACAACAACAACAACAACCTGTGGAAACAACCCACTATTCAACCTAGAGACGTAGTTATGGGGGGGGGAGGTTATGGTGGGGGGAAGGGGAGGGGATTGGGAGGGGGGGAGGAGGAGGTAATGGGGTTGCCTTTGGAATAATTGGCTTTAGAAGGTGTACCTGTTTAATGGGGGTGGCGGGGGCGGTGGAAGGTGGGTGGGGGGGGTGGGGGGGGGGTGAAGGAGGAGGGGGTAGCGAGTGGGTGAGTGGGTCGAGGAGTGGGGGGGGGAAGAGGAGGGGGTGGCGAGTAGGTGGGTCGAGGTGGGGAAGAGAGTAGTAGGTGCGTCGGTGGGTTATAGGCGTAGGGGGTGGGGGGGGGGAGGGGAGGGAAGGGGAGGAGGTAAGTGGGTT